GCAATATAATAATTATGTAAACGATATCTAAAATTTAACCCTTACATATCTTATAAATTATTACATATTATTAAATAACTAGCAAATATCCATGCCATTGAGCATGGTATTAAATTTATTAAATTAATTAGATAGTTCAGTATAGTATGGGTTTTCAGTGCAGTATAATATGGGTTAGGTGCTAAGAAAAGGGATGAAATTGACAAAAAAAAGATTTTCAGAAAATCAATTTTTATGTTATAAATCTTATAATAAATCATAAGAAAATACAAACTTTAAAGAGCTATACTGCAAAATTTTATTAATACAACTACTTTGTGTTTTAAATAAAAAATGTTCTTAACCTTATTCTAAATTGATTTATGCAAAAAAACATCTTTTAAAAAAAATTGTCAATTACGTCCCTTTTCTTAGCACCTAGCTCATATATTCGCAAGTTCCATATGATTTGTGTAACACCACTTGCAGATCATATCCCATACAGTGTTTATCTATTTCTGTTTATTTACGTACTTACCCGTTTAAGATCTGTGTAACAAAAACAAAAAGCACCAATCACAGAGCGTTTTTGTCTCATATAGTTTGTCTTATATCATAGTGTTTATCTTATAGTGTTTATCTCCTATTGTTTATCTACCGCGTTCTATATTATATTATAGATTTATTATTAAGTAATTTAAGAGTCATCGATTACAAATAAATTACTTAATTATAAATAAATTATAAACTACCTATATACAAAATTGTTTATGAGTTAAATAAAAAGATCGATCGCACCAGAATTAGCTGTTTTTGCTGCACGAATTATGTCGATACCACCTACTTCTGCTGAAAGCGAAAGATTCTGTTTATTTATTGCAAATATCCATTCACCACAGCATAACAAACTTACAAATGAACGTGCAACAAAAATAACATGCATTCGATGTCATATTGCACAAGAAAGAAACAATTCACATCATATTGTTCAAAATAAAGAAAATAGGCTTGATCAAATCGTTCAAACTAATATAGCTAATTCTAACGAAGCATGTCTTGAAAATACTGTATCGAATATTGGATTTGATGATATGGAGAATAATAATGATAATTTGGAAAAATAATTTGAAGAAAATGTAACGCAGACGATTGAAAACATTGATATTTTTAATACTAATGATCAAAATTATATATAATAAAGCCGTAATAGAATCTTCTGTTGATTAGTTTTAGAAAATCTCGATAATGCTTAATCATTAAATTAATCATTATAGTATGCGATAAATTTAAAAATAAATAAATAAATATTAAACTTGGAGTCTTTTTTTATCTTGGCGTATTAATTTTACCATAATTTGTAAGAATATGGTAAAATATGTAAAAATATATAAAGATATATAAATCCGTATTCCGTTGTCTATAGAAGTCTGTTTTTAGAAGTCCTGGTTTTCATTTGTCGCACCCATATAAATACGTTAAAAAGAATTAGGCAGTAAATAATTGATTTAGCGAAACATGAAGTACTTTATATTTTAATTGATTTGCAAAATTTTGTAAATTTTGCAGATTAAGAAAAAAAAAAGAAATCGCAGGATTTTCAGACAATCTTAAAACAATTCCGACATGACAATTTCATACCTAGATATCGGCATTACTTGAATGTGTGCTAGATTTGTGGCGCAGCAAAATTCTTTACTATTCATTTAATGGTTAGGGTTATGAGCTAAAAGAAAGTAGTTTTTATAGTAAAATTGTCCAACGAAATGTAGAATTTCAAGAAATAAGCGAGTTTTGACAAAACGGAAGTTTGTTTTGAATTTTCGTGTTACGTTGCACTTGATCTTGAAATCTGATTCGTAGTCCTGTAAATCTTCGCCACAAACCTCAAAGAGTGCTAGATGTCGGTGATGTTTTATAGCGCTTTGCAAAAAGAAGTGGCCGTATGATTTTTGTAATGAGAAAATTTGAGATTTTAGACTGTCTGTTGTTTTATATTTTCGATCGATTATGTTTATATTTCTTCGAAATCGATAAAATTCTTATTTCCACATGACACATGATCTGCAGAGGCCACATCTTTGCAAAGCGCAATAAGAAATCAGAAATTACCTAGGAATTGCTTAAAAATCATGCGATTTTTGATAACATAAATAATACATGGCATCAAATATATATGTTAAACAAAAAGATTGATAATTATATAAAAGTGTTTTAACTATAATTACTTTCTATTCTTTAACTCTCTTACTAATTTGCACTCTTTTACCAGTTTCGCCACATTTTACCAATTTAGCCAGTTTCGCCATTTTAATTTTTGTTGGCGAAAATTGAAACTAGGTTTAGCCTTTCGTTTGTGGCGAAAGTCGAAAATAGGCTTCGCCTTTCGTCTGTGGCGAAATCTCTAGGCTTCGCCTAACAACACTACTTTAGCAGATTTTAAATACCACTAAATGTCTTTTCCATCCATTACAAATCCAACATTGCATTGTCCAGATGTATCCCCACCTTTGGGATATTTTAAATACCACTCGAACGCTTCAATTCATCTTTTGTTATCCCAATGCCATAGTAATAAACATTCTTTTATTTATTTCTAATCTTAAATGAAATAGATATACGTAAATAGCTATTGTTATCAAAATATACGTAATAGAGATTACAAAGCAATTAGGTAAATGCGGATAATTTACTGAATAAAATATTTATTTACCATCAAAACTAATACTGAAGTTAAAATTTAAATTCATTACACATGTTTGGAAAATTTTTGGAGTTGATGATATAAAATTTGAACAAAAGATGAGTCTAGATGAAATTATCGTAGATATAATAGACTATTATGACATTTATGATGTTGACAATTTGTACGATTGCATTGTCCTGTAAAGGTCCTTAGTAAAATATACTGCTCAATAGATAATGTAGATGTAACCGGTTTTATAATCACATGCACAAATGAGTGCTACAAAGGGAAATCCTGTTTTCCGAAACCAATTTTATATAAACAGACTTATAATCCATTAGGGATCTGATCACTGTTTCTGAAAATCACAGGTTTTCGCTTTGCAGCACTCAAAAATGTCTTTATAATTAATCTGACCAGTTATATTGAAAAGTTCATTTGATTCAATAAAAATTTTTGGGGGTTTTTTTCTCGCCTATAAAATTTGACTAATAATAAATTTACTGTTCACATCTGATAAAAATTAGGAATGATTTTTCGGCCGACTAATTATATTTGGACGAACCACCCAAATCAGTTACGTACGTACGTACGTACGTACGTGCTGAGTTTAAATACATATAATTTAATTTAGGATAGGCAATGTAATTGCTTGTTACGCAAAAAATTAAATCACATTATGTGGCAATTTATTAATAATATATATTTACAGCTAATAACATGCGAAATTGTCTTATAGTGTGATTTAACTTTTTACGTTATATGTAATTACCTTGCCCATCTCTAATATAATAAAAATTTCATAACAGAATCACTTGAAATTTGTATAATGCTGAGTGATAATTATATTTTTATGTAAATTATCTGGGTGTTATCTATTTCAGCGTAATTAATTCAAATTAATACATATGATTTAAGACCCGGTGGTTAATATAAATATTATAAAACTAGTACGTACTGTACGTATATCTACGTATGTAGTCGCATGTCTACGTATGTGCGCAAATATGTATATTTCTGGTTAAGTACAGAAACATTATCCTATTTACAAACCAATTTCGCTGGCAAATAATTGAAAAAATTTATACGACCGAAAACTAGATCTTCTGCAAAGTATTGAAAAAATATCCGTCACTTTTATTCTAAGACTTTAATGAAAAAAAAAAATTCATACTGGTATTTATATGAGTTACAATTAAGGATGAAGCTTTGGCTAGAATGTAAAATTATTTTTATGGCAATTTGAAGAACTTAAAACATCAACTTGGATATACAAATAAAAGAGTAATATTTTATGTATATTTCTTTTTCAATATTAGCAACGATTCGTGTGATATGTTTAATACACGTCATTCTAGTTAAGAGGAATTCACAAAGGAATTTAGGTGTTGTACGTGGTTTTGATATTATTTATGATTTACAAAAAAATAAAAGTTGAACTTGCACAATAATTTGTATTTGAAAAGGTTTATATAGATTAAGTAGGCGAAACTTCATTATACATACAAACTTTTTCATATCGTATGGAATTTATTTAAGGTATTCTTGAAGATATACAAGATCTAATTCTTCAAGAACTGACTAGCAGAATTGCTAACAGGGTCTCCAGCAAATATACTATATTTTTCCAACAAAAACAATCTGGACTATCGTTTGATAATCTATCAGAAATTCTTTCATCCTTGAAATTCTGATTTGCCTTATTAAACGGGCAACCGGGACATATTCATGTCTCCTCAATTATACTTTGTTTTTTTTTAATATTGCCTTCTATTACTTTTTCTTTTTGTTTCATTTCGTTCCTTCTCAATTGTACTTTAGTTTTTTTTAATATCACCTATTGTTGAAATTTTTAATATCAAAGTGCATGTTTCTGTTTTCATCTAATTTTCTTTACATTTCAAGTTTCAGAGAATAGATATGGATTGCGTTTACTATTTTAAATTCAAACAAAACTCTCTTGCTATTTTAAATTTCATCTAAATTTTTCTTAAATTTTTTTTCTTTAAAATGGAAAGATTATTTTTGATTTCGATAGCATTTGAAGCCTATAACATGTTACTGATTAGATTAAGGTAATTAATTATTAGATTAGAATAAAGATTTTCATAAAAAATTTTATTATTTTCGTCTAATTATTTTGGCGAGCAAATTTGTTCATTAACCTGGACGGTTTAAGAGATACATCGGGATTCTTATAAACATTTTGTGAAAATAAAAAAAAAAGATAAAATAAAATTTTACAAAAGGCCTTTCAATATTCTAAAAACAATTTTTCGTTAAATGTTATTATTTCTTAAAATTTTACTTTAACTAAATCATTCTAATTTTTATTTATTTAAACCTTATTTATTGAAATAACATATTGTCGCCTGTATTTCATTTAGAGTTGTATTTAGGGTTAGAAAGGGTCATAATATGTAGTAAAAGAATAAATAAATAAAACACTAACCATACATCCCAAGCTTCGCAGTTTATAGGTAGCCCGTTCATGGATGTATCAAATAAACGTGTTAAAACTTCACACATGTATGAAGTTTCATTTATTGATATATTATCATGAACACGGGCTCTATACTTGGTTGATACTCAAATAATTGACGCCTAAAAAATTATTTTGAATTTTAATTGACTGATCTTAAAAATGTAGCGATTTGAACCGAGTAAAAAATGTCAATTGATTAACCGACTCACCAATTGCATTATTTTTGCACCCTGGATGCCTTGTTGCTTCATAGGATGACCACTGTGAGAAATTAATGGATATATCCATATTAGACATAAATATCTAAAAAATAAAAGTTTAGTAATAATTCATAAAACGATTATTAATAATAACGTTAACATCTTATCGAGTGATTTTATCACCTTCAGTAAATAAAGCATTTAATATTAATGATATTATCAGAAACGATTGCCAAATTAAACATATGTTGACACGTATCTATACTGTTGAGCCTGATGGAATTGAAGCATGCAATGCTATAATATGTGATATAACTGATTTTAAGAACAAATTGCTATAATCAATAGTAATTATCTAAATGAATGAACGATTGATTGTTTAAGAGTATTCTTCCTATAGCTTGTTACATATCAAAAAGTAAAATCATTGAAATAATAAAGCAACCTCATTAAGCAGATTTGAGCGTTTTCTAGATTTGATACGTTTTTCAACATTTACGTTGGTTGCATACAGTATGCTGTGCCTATCAATGCTGACAACACTCATGACAAAGCTCAACTATCCACGTGATAAGTTAATATCGTTTAAATTTTAGAAGCTCAGACTATATGTACGCGATAAAACTATAAGCTAAGCATTTAACATTTATTGCATAGTTTTTTAAGCCAATTATTGTTATATTCAATCCTTAAGACCTTGTCAACGATATCTGATTCATCGAATTCTATATTCCGTGATCTTTGCTTGATATCAATCTAGATTATAGTTTATACCCTTCACTAGACGATTCCGTGTTATTGAATTTAAAAAAATGATAAAGTAAGATTTAATATATTTTCAATATTGAGTTTTGCTTTCGAAACCATAAATGTTTGAGAATTCGTCAGAGTAAAAACGGAAATGGGAGTACAATATTTCGATTCATAATATAAGACTCGTCACCCTCAAATATGTCATTATTCTTTGCAATGCATAAATAATATTTGTGTAGAATAGAATAGTTTTCTCAATTTTTTCATCAACAATATAAGCATCCCATATTTATATTCCGAGCCAATCACCAAAATTAATTTTATTAATTGAAGAAATTAAGCAATTATTAATATCTCTAATAGCATATCTCCAAGAGCATATCTCCAATAACATATCTAATAGCAATTGGATTATTATCAATGTTATTTGACATATTGAAATAAGAATTGTTACACTAATTGTTTTGGTCTAGTTTAACCATTTAATTTAACCACCATAAGTTATTAACCATTAACCACCATAAGATTTTGTTTGATGGTTGTCTTTTGTTTATTTCCGAATATTGCTTGAGCAAATACGTTTTAATTTGATGTATTGTATTTTTGTGTATCCCCGTGAGCGCCACATTTCCTTTTTAAACTAAAAAGGAAATTGTTTATTCCAACATTTTTATAGTACTTGTACTCGCACTAGTACTTGGACCAATATTACCGACCCATTTTTCAAATTTCCTTATTTGGATGATCTACATAAATTAACCAATCAAATTTGGGGAT